TCCAAAGGAGATGCCCTGTTCTGCAAGTGTGTCTGAGGGTGCAGCTTGAAGTGGCTTGACTGTGGAGCCTGTCACAGGGCAGTCTGATTCAGGCGGCTGGGAAGGCCAGGGCGGAGAGTGTGGGGCGGGCATGGAAGTGTCGTGCCACCCTGCATAACCCCGGCAGAGCCCCTTGGCCAGGAAGGCAGGGAGAGGCTCTAGGCATTTCAGGGGCCAACACCAAATGAAAGAAAGTTAGGATGACAGCTAGGCAGTGTTGTAAAACCTGCTTACAGGGCAGGAAGGCCAGTGATCTCAAAACACAAGGAAATCAACACAAGGCAAAATCAAAGTGGCCCCTTAAGAATGCAGAGCTTGAAACTTCCTGGCAGACGCGTGCAGTGGTGATACGCTTGAGTGAGGAGACAGGTGGAGAGAATTATAGATTGAACAAGGCCTAAGAACAGATCAAGGAGGATGCCCTCATCACAGTACCTGGGATACACTAGTTTTCTATTTCTCAGTTTGGGGTTTCCTGGCACTGCTTGGGAATCACTATAGTGTTTCTGCAAAATGCAAGTTCCTGGGTCCCACGCAGCCATGCTGACCGAGGGTCTCAGTGCACCGGGCCTGAGAAACCGCATTTTCACAAACTCTGTGGGTAGGTTTTATGCCCACCTGAAACCCATACTGCAGGTGCTTCCTAAATATTAATAGGCCTTACCATAACTTTGTAGAGAAAATTAGGGGGAATAGAGAGGGAGAGGAGGAGAGGGGTTTTCAGAAGAGTTTTGGGATAGCTCTCTTCCGGATGGTCCTGCCTGCAGCCTCTGTGTGGACCACCCTGGGGTGCGTGTGGACACGCCTTCCCGCCCACCGGTGGACCAGTCCTGGCAGGTGCTGCCTGGCCAGCACCACAGGACGGGAGTCACCGGGCTGTTGCAGCTCTGCCACCTACTGGCTGGAAGAGGAGATGCAGAATTCAACTAGCGTCCACACATGCTAAAGAGCAGCCTCAGAAAACACACACACACACACACACCCCACTGACCAGGGCCCTAGGGAGCCCACAGCAGTAGCATCTGTGATTAACTGTGTAACAAGTGCAGATGCATTAGATTTCAGGGACAGATGACATTGGAGGGGGTAAGAAGAAAAAAAGCTAAGCCCGTGATGATCACCAGAGGCTCTGAAAAGACTTCCTCTTCCCTCCTTCCTTCCTGTTTTCCGGTAAAGAACACAGGAGGTAAAGATGTTAGTGCAGTCATGGAAAGGCTGGCTCTGTGGGGGGTGGGGAGGGAAGGCAGGCAGCTGAGGGTTCCCTGGCTCCCAGCCCCAGGCGAGGAGGGGGCAGGGAGGAGGCAGGGAGCAGAGGCTGCAGCACCGACCCCCTCAGCTCAGCTCGCCCCGTGTTCAGAGCAACTGACACAGACCATCATCAGCCCCTTCCCCTGAGGCTCTGGCTTCCGGGCAGTACTACTCCCTTTTCTGCCTTAATTTCCCCTTTAGTGAGCAGATGGAGCTGCCAGAGGTGTGACCTCTGGTGCTCAGAAGGGTGGGACTGTCACCCGTCTCTCCTCTCTGGCTAGGAAGGGATGGGACCCCAGGTCCGCTGAGAAGGTGCTGCCCCTTGTCCCCTGTCCTCCAGCCCGCCTGCCTGCAGGACCACTTGTTGTGTGTGGGGTGCACTGCTGAGACTGCCTTCTCTCCACTTGGGATAGAGTTTCGTCGACCGGGTTACCTCAGGTCTTCAGGGAGAATGGACCACAGCCTTCCCTGGGACTCAGATTCCTGGACTCTGAGAAAATGCTCTCTGGCCTCCAAACTGTGCCCGCCTACCTTCCTTTGCTGTGCTTGGCTCTTTCTTGCTCTCCCCTCCCTGCTGTTGGATTTCTTCCCTACCCTGTTCTGGAGCTGCCTGGCCAGGCGTAACCTGAGTCAGCTGATGGAGGGCGCAGGCTGGGAGACTCCCTAAAACTGGGATTTGGGCAATGTGGTGCTGTCCTACGGTTTGGGGCACCACAAACATTTGCTTGCGGTGCCCCACTTTGTTCTTGCTGCACACAACTTGGTCACTGTGAAACCGTGTTGCCTCAGCAAGAGCAAGCAAATGGACACTGAAAGCCACAAAATGAAGGCAAACAGGGAAGGCTGTTGGTCCAGCTCTTCTGAATCCCAGACCAGTAAAGCCAACCCATCCAACCTGATCTAGCACAACCCAACCCAACACAACATAACTCAATCCAATCTGACTCAACCTAATCCAACCCAACCCAACCCAACATAACCCAATCCAATCCGACTCAACCCAAACCAACCCAATCCAACACAACATAACCCAATCCAACCCAACCCAATCCAATTCAATACAGCACAACCCAAACCAACCCAATTTAACACAACACAACCCATCCAATCCAATCCAACCCAGTCCAGCACAACATAACCCAATCGAATCCAACCCAACCCACACCAACCCAATTTAACAGAACATGACCTAATCTAATCTGAACCAACCTAATCCAGCCCAATCCGATCCAACACAATCCAATCCAATTCAATACAATATAACACAACCCAATCCAACATAGCATAACCCAATCAAATCCAACCCAATCAAGCCCAATTTAACACAACACAGCCCCATCCAATCCAACCCAACCCAACCCAATCCAACACAACCCAACCCAATACAATACAATACAACTCCACACAACACAACCTAACCCAACTCAACCCAAACCAACCCACCTCAACCCAACCGAATCCAACACAACACAACTAAACTCAAGCAACAAGTAGTTTTATAGCACCCTGTGTACTCATCCAACTCGTCACTGATGGAACTAGGGAGGTGGGGAACTAAGTAGTGTATTTTCCTGATCAGACACCAACCCCTTACATACAGGGCTGTTAAAAGGAACTAAATGCCAAGGCCGTATGGTAAGGACAACAGGCTTAGGGGTGAGGAGACCTGACGGCGCTACCCTGGTGTCATGAACTTGAAGAGTCATTTCACATCCAGGCTTTGTTCATCACCTGCTAGAGAGCTGGGACAAGGACACTTCCCAAACCTGCCCTACCACTCTGCTGGGAGGACACACTGAAATAATGTGCATGAAAATACCTTCCGTGAAGCACTAAATTATTATTAATTAAATGCTTTATAGACAGGTGGCATATCTGTATTTTAAAATCTTGTCCTGGAAGCTTGTGAGAGTTGAAGTTCTGTACACCATAGTGACTCAATCAAGAAAGTGCTACAATGAAATGCTGTTGCTAAGTCTACCATTTTCCATGAGTCTAAATTGGTTGATTGAATTTATATTAAGAACGTCAAGGTTTCTCAAATTTCCAGTGAGAGAGCTTGTTGCTGCCAAGAAATGTGTTGTTCCCTTAACCCAAACACAAAAAGCTGACTACAAAAGAACTGGGTGAACATGGACAATTTAATATAATTCACCTCCCAACACAGAGCAGGGAGGCTCATGGTGGTACAGGAGTATTTTGTATCTTAGTTGTTTGAGACGATAAGTGGGTGCTCACCTTTGTTAAAGGAATGAAAATGTTCTTCTTCAAGGGCCTCATAGCAGGTTCTCCAAGCTGGAAAATCAGGGTAATGATTGCTTATATCCCCATTTTACAAAAGTCGGCTCATATCAGTTCTCACCTCCAAAGCATACAGCACTTCCCCTTTACCTACAGATTAAAGCCAGGGCTTTGAAGAACATTCAGGGGTCTCTTGTATGTGAATCCAACCTACTATCCTGGGCTTCCCCCTCACTGTGTCCCTCTAAGTCCCATGCCCTGAGCCACAGCTGACCAGCCTCTACTACGCACACGGCACTTCCCGTCTCCGCCTGTGCTCCTGCCAGCCCACCCCTGACCTGCTCTTGCTCACAGCTCCTGCCATTCGAGTCATAATCCTAAAAGTCGGCTCATACTGCCACTCTTCTGTGAAGCACCCTCTTCAGAATTAACCATTGCACTTGCGGGGAGCTTGGGGTGTGGGTATAAGGCCTGGTTGAAAATTCTGAATCCACTGCTTATAACTATATCTGACTTTGGGCACATCATTTAGCCTCTCTGAGTCTTAGTTTATATATATACAAATGTATATATATAGGATATGAATAAAAATAACTGTCCTCCTTATCTCACTGAAATTGTGAGATAATTTATTATCTCACATAATTTATTAAGTCAACAAATGTTTGTCGTGTACCTACTATGTGTGGTGCGAATTAAATTAGAAGATAAATATGAAACTGCTGTCTAAGTTGTGCTATGAGTAATTCTCTCAGATGAGAAGCCACGGAGGGCGGGAACCAGCCCGACTCCCTTTGGCTCTCCTGCATCTCCGAGTGGGATTTTACCCCGCAGGTGATGGGTTAGTGCTCAGTGATGGAATGCGCTGGAGAAAAGGAGACGCCCAGAGGTCGCACGCAGCGGACCAGTGTGGGAGTCCCTCTGGTCCTCAGTTTCCCAGGCCCCAGTCTCAGGAATGTCTCCCCTGCTCCAAGATCCTGCCTCTGGCTCACGTAGGTGCTGGGTGGAAAAGTGGAGGAAGAGAATGCTGGGGGGAGAGCACAGTGCTCTATTGGATAAACAACTTGCTTAGGAGTGTGGAGGATAAGATTATCCTTAATTATCTGACACCTTTATTTATGGGCGTCTGTAACAAAAACCCTCCAAAGTACTTGCAGTCCATTGGAGGATGAGAAAATAATTACCTGCTTAGAAATCCAAGAAGAAGTTAAGTGACGCAAAACAATTTTGTTGCTGGCTTCTTTTTGTCTTTTTCTTTTTCTTTTTTTTTTTTTTTTTTGCAGCATCATAAGCTGGCATGATCAGAGTCCTGCTGGGCTGAGGAGGAACAGAGAAGTGTTTCCATCATGCCTTTCCTGGCCCACCTTGAGGGCTGGAAAATAGCGGGATGGGAGGTCCCGGGTGCAGATGCAGGGAGGTTCTGATGCAGGCCCCGGGGTCTGGTGGCGCAGAGGCTCTGTGGGGACCTGTTTTGGAGCCCAAGAGTAACAACATATAAAATCTGTTTTTCTTGAGATTCCTCAACCCTCAGCTCCCCACCTTCCCCTTCTTCCTTCCCTATTCTCATCGCCGCCCCTTCCCTCCCTCCTGACTCAGGGGGGACCACGGAAGGCCCCAAGAAGCAAAAGAGAGCCGGCGACCCCCGGCGGTGGGCATCGGCAGGAGGCTGACCAGTAGGAAGCTGACCAAAAACTCTGACCCAAGGCCCAGGTCTCTGGGGAGAAAAGGCTACACCGCACTTAACCATGAGTGTGATTCATTTTGTTTTAAGTCTTAGCTCAAGGAAGGAAATAAATCCTGAGTTTTTTTTGTTTTTTTGTAATAGTAGCTATTTTTGGATTTTGAAATCAGCACAGACTTTGGAAAAAAGACCCTGAACCAGCCCTAAGCAAAATTGTGAAAATTGTGGTACAAAATGAGATTTTCTTTAATTCTTTGAAATGTTTAACCCAAAGAAGGATTTCTCAAATACTGAAGTTCAAGGATGATGGTGATGGTGTAGAGAAGGCAGTTGGCTAGGGGTGTCTTTCCTGTGCTCCTCAAAGTGGCTGCCTGGGTATCTGTAAGTTCATGTAGGTCAAGACACGGTCTGTTTAGGATGCCGGGATGGGAAATGGAAGAATGTTCTGTCTCACAACTGAGTGAGCCCTTGCTGCTGTCTGGGGGTAACATAGAGGGAAGTGGGAAAGTGTGATTTCGTGTCCTTCCCTTTTACCGGCACCTGCCACTCTGTGAGATGTGCCCAGCGTGACCCTCAGGGACAGGTTGGAGGGGCAGCCTGGCATTGTGGTGATCTCAATTCTGGCTCTGGGAAGTGTCTCCATGTCATAATTTCACACTCCACCTCTAGAATAGCAGTGACCAAATTGTCCTAGGGAATGACCTTCTATCCAAGCACCAGTCCTGAATTTCCAAAGGTGACCAGACAATCGATTAACCACCACAACCGACACTCCACAGGTCTCAGACTCTCTACTTCTTCCCACTCACACCAGTTTTCCCTTCCAACTTGCTCCTTGGGGCCCCCATTCCCTTGGTCTTGCAGGTCTGACGATCAGAGCTGTGCCTGGTTCTTTGCGCTCCGTGGCCTTCTCCCTCTGTTCTTCTCCTCTGTCCCCACTGTCTTCTGGCTGGACCAACACGAGCATCAGGCCTTTCTGTCACCTCGTTTCCCCTCCATACCATGCAATTAAAGAGACTGTGTCCCAGGAGCATGCAACTTCCTATAGCAAAAAGGTTCGTGGAGGGGAATTATTTCCATCAAGTTCCAGACTCCCACTATTCAGTACATTTTATCCCTTAACGTGTCCTCAAAACACATAAAGTCATACTTTAAATGCATTTCATAAATAAGACTTTGTGTAACTTTTATCTGCTTAATATTAACGGTAAGCTTGAGGAGAAATGGTAGGGACCTGGGACATGTCCCTGAGGTGCAATGTAGCAGGCAGAGGGGGGCTGAGGCACACTAAAGGGACTGGCCGCAAGAGAGGTCCAAGTCCAGCTCCTGCGCCAAGACCATCGGGAAAGAATGAAGTGTCCCCCAGATCTCAGGTGTGGAGGCCTCCAGGAGAGGGAGCCTTCTCTCTCCCGCTTGCCAGTGATGTAGCTGCATACAGGGCCCTCCGGATCAGAGAGTAGCCACAGCCCCCTGTGACAATCACCACTGACTTAGGCTTAGCTCTGATCGTGTGAGGGTGGAGTGCTAGACGTTTTTCATCTACTAACTCATTAAATCTACACAGCAGCTGGATGTGGTAGGTATGGCTATGAGTTGCATTTTCTGGGAGAGGAAAACAGGGGTCAGAGAAGTTGACTCACTTCCCAAGGCTGTGCAGCTAGTTCCTGGCAAAGCTGGATTTGCAACCTTTGTCAATGCCCTCTGGAACCCCTGCTCTTAGTCACTGCACTGTTCGATCTGGGGGCGAGCCTAGAAACTAACACCGAGGCAGAGTAAGTGCTGGCCAAATGGATAAATGCATGTACTACTATAATATGTTAATATGCCATTAGTGTGTACATTAATGTATTGATAGTTAATGTTACTATCCCAACCACCCACTCTCCTGTGCTCGGTGACTTCCTCCCTGGGCTCAGTTTCCTCATCCAAAGCATGGGGACAGACAACTCTCAAAGGACAAGGACCGGTGGCTATGGGTTTCGCCTCACAGCTGGGAGATCAATAGTTTAATTGCTGTGAAACACACGAGCCTTGGTGATGCCGCATAAATAATTGTAATAACTGTGGCCAGTGACGGAGAGGATGGTTTTCCAATATCTTATTTTAAAATGCATTTCTCTACAATTAACTCCGCAGGGTCTGGCGGAAGAAGTAGCCCATACAGGCACTCATTATTATTGTTTTTTCCCTTCAAGGCACTTGGGCTCTGGTGCCGCCCTCACTGGGATCAAAGGTCACCGTCTCACTGGAGGAGGGTGTCTTCGGACCCCTCAAGTGGAGGCGGGGGCGACTTAAAGCCGGGGCTCTGTGGTTTTCCCGGGGACGAAGGGTAGTCAAAAGACCCTTTGTGATCTCACAGCCACGCTCCCCCCTGGCCCCGGGGCCCCAGCCTTCCGCATCTGTGCATTCCAGCTCCGTCTGGTGATGTCATCCCCGGACAGGGACGCCCTTCTCAGCTATAGCATTCTAAGCCTGGGGAAGCCTGTCCCCCACCGTGTCTCTGGGAACAGATTTTCTGACTGCAAACCATTCACATGCCTCACCCCAGGCCTCGTGAATTCCTGGGTGCTCATTTGTGATGGCTGTATGCGTCCCTTTTCCAGAGCGGCTGCTGTTGAAACAGTCGGATGCAGGCAACGGCCGTGCCGGGGGGCTGAGTGGGGACAGGGCGGTGAAGGACTCGGGAAGGCGTGGTAACCTGCGAGATAGTCCCAGCTGAGGCTTGCTCTTCAAATAATTTTTTGCTGTCATTTTTTTTGCTGGATGACACTGAACATTACCACGATGGCCGGTGACATTGCCTGCTTTTATTCGAATTGTTGCTGAGTCCAGATTTGGAGCCAGAAAACGTAAACTCCAGTCTGGGGCTCCACTTCCTGGCTCCTGAGCTTGGGTCAGAAGAACAGGAGTGGCCCCTGCGCTCCAGAGGCAGGCAGGCCAGCGGGAGGGACGGGGGAGCACTGAGGACCTGTGCCTCGATGCACAGGTGCCGTAATCAGGTGTGCACAGCATGTCCCCCGAGTCCCTGGAGACATCGGATCTGCTCCGGGACACTGCGGGGAGAGCTCTGAGACTCAGCGCTGCCTGAGCTGGGCCACACATGCATCTCATACTCCCTCCTCACTTTGATTTGGCCACACAGACAAAATCATCCTAGGTAGCCCAGGATCGGGAGCTACTTTGAAATTCTGGTGTCCATCCCAGCTGAGCAGAGCTGGAATCCCTGTCTCGGGGCTTGGCAAGGCCACTGACATTTCGGAGCAACCCTCCATGTCCAGCCAGAGGCGGGGGCGCTGCGCTGGCCGGCGAGCTTCCTGAGCTGAGCGGAGGTGCCTGTGTGCGCGGGTCCGCAAGGATGAGCAGCGGATGGAGGGGACCCAGCCTCTGTGGAGGAGTTGTGTCCTCCACCCTCTGGGAAGCTGCAGCTCGGTCCTTTGCATGAGGCAAGGCAAATGTGGACTGCTCTTAGCCTCACAGAGACACTCGCAGCCGTCTTCCGATGGCAGCCTGGGGCCTTTGACAGGGCCGACGCTTAGCCGCTACATGAGGCTGCAGGGAAAGATCCTAGAGCCCAGCTCTTCAGAGAGAGCAGATGTGAGGCTATATGCACTCACTCCCTGGGTTATTTATTTGTCAAGGAAATTACAGAACAGTGCCTAGGGGCTGGGAAGGGGACCCAGGAGGAAACATCCAGGGCTGGCTGCTGCGGCCGCCCTAGCACAGTTGGTCCTTTAAGGACAGGACATCAAAGAGTTGTAAGCTTGGGAGAGAGTCTCTGAAGGTGCTGGGACCCTTCTGATCCTTCTCCGTTGTTAATGGGACTCATGTGTTCATGAATTAATTTACTAAACATCTATTAAGCAACTGTTGTTTACAGAGCTATTCAGGGGGGCCTTTTCGGGGGAGCTATGCTCTGCTATGTTATCCTCAAAATCATAGCATGTCACCTTCATCTTCGTCCTGACCACGCCCACCTATTAACTAGCTGTGACTCACAGGCACATGCGTGCAGCACAGGGATGTGCCAGGCACGCGACCAAGAGCGTTTCGTCATCCACCTGATGATATCCTCACAGCAGCTCTGAGCTTGGAGGTCTGAGCCCCGTATTTCAGCCAAGGATACTGACAACTCTGCAAAGTCCTGCTCGAGGTTGTGTATGCAGGTAACAGGCAGATTCAGGAGTTGAGCTTAGACAGCCTCGGGCCTAAGCTCTCTGCCCCAGACCTGCCCTCAAGAGGTTGACTCTCTTGTGGCTGAAACAAAACATTCTGGAAGCGTGAGGAGAAAGATCAATAGGCTTCCACCAGAGCCCTCGAAGTTGGCAGTTGTTATGGAGAAAGACTTTGGAGGAGGGGCCCAGACCAGATCAGGGGAACTGCTGGGCATGGACTGGTTGAAAGGGAGCAGAGAGGAAATGGGAGGAAGGAGGGGTGGGAAATGGCATGGACAGGATGGGGAGTGAGGACTCGAGCTGAGTCCTGGGGAAACAGGAAGGCACCTGGCCTGTCACAGAAGGGTGAGACCATGTGCAGGGATGACCAGGGGCTGTGCCTGCAGGGCCTGGGTGGTCAGTGGCTGCAGCTGCTGGGCTGATGAGGAGGAAGGTGAGGGGCCGGGAGGAGGCCTTGATTTATAGCGGAGCTGCTGTAGGGTGATGGGGACAACAGTAACATCTGGGGTGTGAAAAACGGGGAGGTGAAGCTGCTCTGAGGCTGGTAGGAGGCCCTCTCTGTAGGGACAGGCCATCCTCCCTCATTCAGCCAACACTTAATTATTGCGTTTCTGCCCTGCACCAAGCTCTGTGCTGAAGCTTCCTCTCTCTGGTTAGGACCTGGCCGTCTCTGACTCCCAAAGGTGCTGCAGCGGCTCGCACCGGAGTCTATGCGTTTCCGGGCTCCTCCCTACCTCCGTTTTCCTCAGGGTTCCAGCTGGACAGGGGCTTCTCCTCGTCCTGGTCCAGCTGCGTCAGGCACCTGTCAGATCCCACTCCAGGGGAGGCCCGAGTCCAGCAGAAGAGAACTGCTGAGGGCGTGGCAGCCCCTTGCACCCTTGCACACCTCAGTTCTAGGCGCCCAGGGTGTCCTCAGGCGTTAACCCCTTCGTGACTGCAGCCGTTGGTGGAGCAGAGGAGAGGAGATAGGCTCCCATGAGTGGGAGGACAGGAGCGAAAGTGGCCTGTCCAAGTTGTAGGGTGATGCGGTAGGGGTGTGTGAACGAGGAATGGGCTCCTGCCTGTCACCCAGGTCCCTGTGCCTGACACCATGCGGAGCCACTACCTCCACTTATAGGAAGCTGGGCCAGCCTCCCCTCAGCATCCTGCCAGCCTGCCTTTGCTCTCGGCCCTTGCTGGGTCCTCAGGGACGCCACGCCTCTCAGTGAAGTCGGTCTGTGACGCTCGGCTGTCCCACCTGCGGCTTGGTCAAGCCATAGGCATGGAGCTGCTTTCATCTTCCTCCACCATGTTGCCGGCTTTCGGAGTCGCTCCTGACTTACACCAGACTGAGAGTTTCCTGGACAATTCCTGCAGCTTCAGGGCAGCTGTGGAAAGTTCTAGGCCCAGGGTGGTGGAATGCGTTTCTTCATAATCCATCCACGGCCCAGACTCTTCTGCACCTGCTCCCCTGTCCTCTGTCTGCTTCAGACAGCCGGGGCTGGGCTGCAGGTCCTCTCCTCTCTCTCCAGCCCTCAGGTGACCCCGGCAGGCACCGGGAGCCCAGTATGTGTCAGCCCACATCGTCTCACCTCTCCTCCTATTGCACACAGGGCCGTGTTCCCAGTGCACATGGATGAGAACCGTAGGGATCCATTCCTTTGGATCGTCATAATTGCTAATATTTATTGCAATTTAACTATTGCCTTCTCAGCTAAGTATTTGACACACTTTGAACATTCTCATACTCACACAATAAAAATAACAACAAAGTATTATTATTATTCCTGTTTTTTGGTATGAGGAAAGTGACTCTCAGACACAGTCTGTGGATTATCTTGGGCCACGCAGTTCCTGAGGGTCGGAGTTGGGATTTGCACCGTTTGCCATGGGCTTAGCTGCTTGCTGGCTGCCCACACACCCCGGCTCAGGACTCTGGTGCCTGTAACCCAGATGAGCGCGGTCCATCTGCCAGGCATCAGGAGCAGCTGATGCGTGTAAAGTCCATGGCACTGTCCCTGGTGCCTGGCAGGTGGTGAATTAACTGTCTCTTCATAGGAACCTGCTTTTTTTAAAGAGTGGGAGCAGCCTGCCCATTCTGGCCTATGGCACGCTGGAAATGGCCAACTGAGCATTTGGGGTGCAAGTTATGCAAATAAGTAGTGGCTCTGGGGGCACGAGGTGACCCCCCACTGACCCACTGAGATTTCAAACCTGGAATGTCAGCACACCATGCTCTCTGATGAATCTCTTAGAAAGGTGCAAGAAAAGCTGTTTTAAAATATTCTGCATTTGAAATATGCTGGTTTGGACCTTTTTCTGGCACTTTCTTTATATCAGCCACATCGGCCTTCCTTTGTATTTCTTCAGCATCTTTTTCTTCTGGAGTTATACCTTGTTCTTTGTGTCACCACCTGCGGGGGGTGTTCAGAGGCCATTGTCCCTGACACCTTTGATTTGGACATGGCAGGGCAAGAAGTCCTAATGGTAGCCTAGCAGTCATTATTTGGCCTTGTGAGTGTGTGTAATGGGAGACCCAAAAGGGACCGATCGTCCCGGCAGTGTTTGGTAACACACGAGGATTCGTGCACACACAGCGCCTAATTAATTACTGTTTACACTCCTGCAGCTCACTTTGCATCCTCTTTCTCCTGGCTGGAATCAGGAAATCAAAGCAAAGTGTCTTCGTTGTGCTATTCTGGGGCAGCTTAAGCAGCGTGAACCCAGAAGTGGGGTCCACGCCCACCTTCCATGTCTGGGGACTTGAGGCAGGGAGACATGGATGTGATGTGGCCTGAAGTAGAGTCCACCCTGCCAATGGGAAACGGCACCACGGGCCACTCGGGTCCTACCCCTGCCTCTGGATCTCCCAGTGAGAACATCCCCAATTGTTAGCCCCTCTCTGTAAGACAGGGAAGATCCATATCCTGAGCATGAACGAAGAGGGGATGAGAACTTCTCGTGCACTTTCATTCATTCTTTTATTCAAGAAAGATTTATCGAGCACCTGTTCTGTGGCATGGTTCCAGGGTTTAGGATGCATCCCTTGATAAATATTTTCACTCTTATGGAGTTTATGTTCTTTTTTTATTTCAAAAGACTAATGTGATACAACTGTTTTTGTTCCATGGATGGCCTTTGTAATGCTTGTGTCATGGCTGTAAGTGTGCCCATCACCCTAATAGTGTTCATTATACCCATTAGTTTGGTTTCTATTCTAGCAAGAGGAGCAAACAATAGCCATAATAAATGGATAAATGACATAGCGCATGAGAAGGTGACAAGTGCTATGGAAATATGCAAAGGCAGAGCAGGGAAAGGAGACTGGAAGTCCAGGGGAGACAGAGTGGCATGAGTTTTAAAACAAGCCCCGGGACAATGCAAGGTGCCATTATGAGTGAAGTTTTATTCTTGGATTCTTTGGGTTGGGGCTGCAGAAATGTTGCCAGGAAGTGAGAGCATGGGGCATGAGGCACCCCCCAACCCTTGGCAGGGGAGGGACTTGCAGCCCCTCAGAGACTGATGAGAACTTAGAGGTCATCTAGCACAGACAGATGAGGCGGCTGTCCACAGGGTTGCGGACAGGGAAGGACCTCCTTTCTCAAGACCTTTAACCCACAGCCAGCAAGTTGCCAAGACAT